GAATATCATGGATGTTGTGGTCATGTGTCAATGGCTCAAATCTCAATGCATGCATGAAAACAATACTTTGGCATTTGGCAACTGCTTGTGTAACTGTGTCAAAATTGGAAGTTCAACTTTTCAAATGTATTTGGCATTGGATGACTACAGGATATGTTTCAGTTACTGTAGTATCTTCCTGGGTTCTTGATGATGTATTTATTATTTTCTGACATGTGTGGGGAACATTCCTTGCAGGGAACATTATAGGGACCTGATTAAGCAATGTCAATCAATGCATTCAAGTGTAGGAACTGGTTCTTTGGCATATGTTGTTGGATCCAAAGTTATGGATGTCAGGACTTCATGTAAAAATGACCAGGAAAAGCAAACTAAAAAAGAAAGATCAACTTCCAATGATAATAATATTGTAGGAAAATGTTGTGATAGGAGTATTACTTGTACAGAGGCGGCAAATGTAAGCCAACGGGAAAGCTCCGATGATTGGGTTGACCTAGTTAGTTTGGGAGCAGACACAGATAATGCATCATATGATCCTTTTGGGCAACAAAACTGCAGTTCCCCAAAGTATGGGAGAGAATCAGATGGATCACATTATGTGACTGACAGTAGTTTCGACTTTCCTTCACAAATCTGTTTGAAAAGAGTGGTAAAGATAAAATTTCAGGAATAGAGAATGGCGATAAACATTCTGCTCAACATAAACTAAGATTTGAAGATGACAGAATGCATAGTTTTCATGTCAATAACAATGCAAACTTAGTTATTGAATCAAATGATCAACATCCTCTTGCTACCTTGCATGGAATGGATTATGAAATTGAATTTGCTTCACCTGATGAGGATGAACCAGAATTTCTGTCCAGTAATCCAATTTATGATGCAAAGATGGTAGATCAACTAAAAATATCAGATGTACCCCAACCAGCAATGATAAATGCCTCAATTTCTCAAGGATTGCCTGCCAGTGAAGATAGAGTATCAGAATGGCTTTGGACTTTGCATAGGATAGGTATCTCAGTTATATAGTGTCTCTCTCTGCACCTGTAGTTTGATAGAGAAATTGATATTTTCTTATTGATTACAGCATGTTTTATTCTGTTATTCTTTCTAGCTAACAAGATTGTTCCTTTCCAGTTGTTGATGTTGTGAGGACAGATAGTCACCTTGAATTCTATGAGGACACAAGAAATTTAGCTAGAATGTCGGATATTCTTGCTGTCTATGCATGGGTTGATCCTGCAACGGGGTATTGTCAAGGTTGTGTTTCTCCCTAAGAACTTTTTTACTTCATGCCAAAGATTTTTTTAGGAGCCCTATTATGCTAACTTTGGATTCGAAGACTTAAATTCTTTTCATGGTCTTAGGTATGAGCGATTTGCTGTCTCCCTTTGTTGTAATCTTTGAGGATAATGCAGATGCATTTTGGTGTTTTGAGATGCTTCTAAGGAGAATGGTATTTGCAAATTTGGCTAAGATTCAACAAAGTTCAACTTCTATTTCAGTGACTGACTTGTTTACTTTCCCATTTCTACAGAGAGAAAATTTCCAAATTGAAGGGCCAACTAGGGTGATGAAGCAGTTGCGAGAATTGTGGCATATCCTTGAAGTGTCGGAAAGGGAAATGTTTGCCTACCTGTCCAAAATTGGTGCTGAAAGCCTTCATTTTGCATTTCGTATGTTGCTAGTTCTATTTCGCAGAGAGTTGTCTTTTAATGAGGCTCTTTCAATGTGGGAGGTGTGTGCTCCATGCTTCATATCCCATTATTGTTTATTAAGTTCTTGAAATTCAAGTGAAATGTAAGATTTAACCTCTTTTTGTTTGCCTGCCTCTGCTTGGGGAGATATGGTTGGTGGTATTGGACAAAACTGAAATATGATCCTAGTTTTAAGATTAGCTGCCCCTGGTTCCGAAGCAAGCATATCTATTTTCTGTTTAATTTTGAAATAGACTTGTTCATTTGCTTTATTGCAATAAATCGATTGAAAGGGGAGATTAGCCTCCCAATGTACCCTGTGATTATTAGTTTGATTAAGTTTACTGGTGTAGGAAGCATGTCTAGGATTTTTGAAGGGTAATTAATTTGTTGGTGCTTTTTTTTGGGGACAAAGAATTGGTACATGGCTGTGGAAGTACTTTGGTAAAGAACATTACGATTCTGAGAATGCTTACTGTAATTTAGATATAGTATAGAAAATATCATGAGCCATTGATTAGTCAACCCTTTTGATACATCATTGGTTTAGTTAGTTAATACATGGTCACATTACTCTTACCTAATGCAGATGATGTGGGCGTCTGACTTTGATGAATCCTTAGCCTCCGATTTAGAAGAGAAATGTCTGGATGCATTGGCTTTAGATCTTCGCAGAGGCTCAAGCAATGATATGAGAGAAGAAATTGTAGATACCGATGATGGTAATGTGAAGAGTGGTTCACAATCAAACCATAATAAAAATGACGGCACAAAAGCCAGTTTACAGTCAAATCTTGCGAATACTAATCACTCTGCATGTGATGTCAAATTGAAGTCACTATCTTCCCATGCCTTTTGTGGCTGGGCAAGGAACATCTGGCCAAAAAATGATAGAGTCCAAATAAGAACTATTTCCTCCTTAACAAGGAAAGGAAAGGATGAGTTGTCCATATTCTGTGTCGCAGCAATTCTTGTTTTAAACCGCCAGAAGATAATCCAAGAAACAAATTCCTTTGATGATATGATAAAGGCAGGTGCCATTGATCTTTTTAAATATTTTTTGTCCAGCAAGGCAGCAATTAATTGGTGTTATGAAAATCATAGTTACTATACACTATTACTTTGTTTTTGCTCTCTAGTTTTACAATGTTCGTTTTGGGTACCCATTCTGTTCACTTGGATTGGATTATGTTTTGATCTTGAAATATGAAGTTGATGATGTGCAAAAGCTTTTGTTTTAGGAAGCACTTTGTATTTCTTGATGTTTCCCCCCAATCACTTGTGCAATAATTGTATATTGTTTAATGTGGTCTGATGTACTCTTTATATGAAGCGGAGAGGAACTTGTGCCAATTATACTGATTGATAATTAAAAGTAGTGTGAATTTTGTTTATGTCAAGTAGGTTCTTACATTGCAGATGAATCATGAGCTTAAGATTGTATTAATTTAAACCTGGATGTGGGGTTACTGTTTGTTTAACTAAAACTCTGTTGTCAATATTCTTTTTCTTTGCATTTTTTCTTCCTTTTTTCAATATACTATAGTGATTTTCCCAAATCATTACTTGAAACACATTTCTTGCAGTTTTAATTAGATATATTTTCAACTTTGCTTTTTCAATTCTTGTTTTAAACTGCCAAGGAAGATAAGATTTCACCTGTGTTATTATTGTGCATTTTCTAATTTTATATTCTAAATTTACTTGTTGTAGATGTTCAATGACAACATGCTGAAGATCAAGGTAAAAAGATGCATAACCACAGCAGTCAAACTCCGAAAGAAATATTTTAATAAGGCAAGTTCTAAATTTGTTATTTTCCTTTACCGCATCACAAAAGAAGCATTAACTGCTTTTGCTATTTTTTGTTTGGTAAAATCTTGTAATGAGAAAACAAATTGTAGAAAGGTAGCAATTATGTGTTGGTCTACTTCATCCTATTCTGATTAACTGTGATGCTTGCTTTATTTAACAGAATACTTAAAAGATGTCTTCCTTCTAATGTTTATAAAAGTTCAATAGAAAGATTCCAGTTAAATCAGTTGCTTTCCATCTATTACTATATAAGAAAAGAAGGTCCTCCTAGCCACATGTCATCTCCTCATCACTTTTCTTCCCTCCAAAAGTGTTCAATGCTATTATTATGTACATTACCACACTACATCCTCACTTTTTATACATTTTATATTTTAATAATTTAAATGCTAATTAAAAATACAATCTACTCCTATTGATGATTCAATTCATTATTCCTCTTATTTTTCACCTATTTTTTCATGGACACAAATGTTCATAGATAATTTTTGTAGAAGAAAAAGAAGTTGGAAAAACTATTTATCATTAGAATTGAAAATTAGAAGCAACAAATGTATTTGATATTCATGTTTTCCGTTTTTTCTCACTTAAATGTGTAAAAATGGTCCATGGATCTCTCCCATTTAACATATACTCTATTAACCAATATACCATATAATTTGAGTAGTTGATTCGTCAATAACTCAATAAGACTAAACAAATTTGTTTCTGCTACCTTCCCACGTTTACTAATTATATTCAAGTATATACACCTAACCAATTCTAAATCACTAATAATATTTTATCATCCAACTAATTAGATTGAAAAAAATCATACAATTTTACCTCATTTAATATTTGCATTAATCTATCTACTTTATTTAACGTTTACTAATACTATAAGTTTACTAATACTTTATTTAAATTGAAAAAAACCATACGTTTACTAATACTTTATTTAAATTGGAAAAAACTATACAGTTTTACCTTATTCAATATTTGCATTAATCTATCTAATTTTCATCTCATCAAAGCTTTGTGATACTTTACCAATTGAATTTTAATATCAGATTTCTTGGATTTTAATTATTCCATACTATAATTAAAAAAATCAAATTCGAAATTGAAGTTTTACCTCAAATTTCATTTCTTATTTTTGTTAGAATATTCAAATTTGAAAGTATCATTTATTTTCATCATGTGTTTGAATAGGCAAATACACGGGTAACACTTGTGTTCTTAACAATGTGAATGTACGGTTAACATGTGTGTTTTAACTAAGTGAATGCACATGTAACATGTGTTCATAGCAATGAGAATGTTCACATGTGTTCTTAAAAATACAAATGCATGAGGAACATGTATTTTTTTAACCATGTGAATGTACGAGTAACATATGTATTCTTAACTATATGAATGCTCATATAATTTTCGTGTTCTTAATCATACGACAAAAAAGTATTGCCTCGTGCGAATGCACGGGTAACTTACTAGTTGTTCTTTATAATTATGTGGCAATGCATTTTCAATGATGTTTTCTTCAAGTACATGGCTTACGTTTTTTCTATATTGCTTAGATTTTTATGGTGAAATTGATGTTTCATCTCTTGGCAGGTAATCAAGAAAAATAAGTTTGTTGCAGAGGAAGGGGACTAGTGTAGTATCATTTCCAATCTACTCTTGCAGCGAAAGACTGAATGGCATTGAATATCACTTATATGGGCCCGATTTACCAAATTGGAGTATGGTGTTAATGTTTTGTTATTCATTACTCATCCACTTTTAATGGGAGACTTTGTAGCAAAAGTGCTTTTGATTTTGGAGGTTCGTCCAGCTGTTGTACCTCCATAGTCTTCATTACTCTTTTTTGAGGTAATTTCACTGTTGTGTTTTACATTTTGTTGGTTGCCTAACTCTTGATGATGTTGCATAGATTTTTAGACGGTCTTTCCCAAGGCTTTTCTCTAATGGGTTGTACTCAAATTCCATTCAAAATTTGGAAGCTTGATGCAAAGATTTTGTCCCAAAATAGACCGTTTTAGCAGGCTCTCGTACTGAAAATTTTGGGGGTAACTATAAGGAATGAATTAAGAAGTTGGCATATTTTCGATTTAAGAACTTTAATTTGTGTTGTGTTTTCGTTTCCGCTTTTGTTGCTTCTTGATGATGAAGAAAATTGTGCATCCCTTTGACCCACTTCCTCAGGGGTTGGGTGCTGATAGTGGAATGAACTACACGTCCCTGTGATAAGGGATTCTAGGACTTCAATTTACTTGTTTCATCCCACTTGAGATAAAGTAGGTGTAGCACAATAAACAAATAGCAGAATCTCACTTTAGGTGGTTTGGCTTTGTGAGTAAAAGCCCTATTAAAAAGAGTATGTCAGATGGAGGATAGCCCAATAGTTAAGGCTAGAGGGACATCAATAAATGTTGCCAGTGAAACCATTAAAAAGAGAGATTTAAATGACATTAAGGACGTGATTTGTTAGGATACGATGACATTGTTTAATCCATGTAACTGACCCCACATAGTGATGATTCATCTGTTTTTATACCGCGTGAGGGATTCATCATGTTTTTCTGTCTTATTGGAGCATAGTGACTTTTCTCATGCACTCGTGCACTTTAGGATGTTTGTAAAATTAAAAGTATGCTCTGTAATTGATTACCACCGCCACCTAATATCCCAATTGACAATGCACTAGCTTCATCAGCATTACCTCTGCAGTGTTGATGATATTCTGGAAACAGTTGCAATTTATTAAACACTGGAATCTTATCAGAATTTTGAATTTAGGTTATTTATTTCAAGGCTAGGTGTTGCAATGGATTGGATGTATAGTTTGAAGTTGATAAATTGAAATTCGATACAACATATATTCATTTTCTTCTTTCTTCTCCCAATTTTTCCTGTTTAGAGTTTCTTGTTTAAGCGAGGTGTTTGTTCTGTGAGCAATATGCTTGTTTTCTTGTTAGGAAGGCCATGTTAAAGATTTCTTTCCCTTTTACCATTTGAGTTTTTTCCATTGCTTATGTTGTGTTGTCTCGTTTTCTTCTTCTTGAAGCCATTGTAGAAAGACTGGCAAGTGGATTTTTCATCAACTTGGTTGCTCCCAGGTCCAATCAATTTGCAATCTTGGAAACTTGGCACAGGTTATGCAAACAAATTTGCCTTCTTTAGACGACTTTTGGTTCAGGTCAGATTTCTGGTCATACATAAACCTTTTACCGCTTAGAGAATTTGGAGTCCTGAAAAAGCACATGCATACAAGAAGGAGGACGTGAGCAAGGGATTATTTAGTTTTAGAATACGCAGTCAGTTTTTTTGGGGATTTATATTGGCAGGAGAAATGATCCATAGTGGTTTATACATACTAGGACTCTAGGAGTTTTTGTTGTTGTTGTGGGGAGGGGGTTACTGAGTTCTTTAATTGGTGGAAGTGGAACTTGCAAAAGACAACAGTTATTATGAACTCGTGATTCATGTATTATTCTTTACCTTCAGAATACAAACAACTATGTTTAAGTTCAAATTAAACTGGGCATGACTTAATGCATAACAATCATTCCATTTCACATACTACTAATTTAGCTTGCCCATATTTGTATGTCGACAATTTTGGCGTACCTCTCCACTGTTTCCCATTACAACTTTGACATTCCCCAAGTTGTGCACTGATAAAAAAAACTCTTGGAAAACCTTCAAATCCAGCAGCAAATTCCTCGGTGATCTGTTCAGTGTCATCACCATAAAATAATTGTTGGGCAATTCCAAGGACAGCTTGGTGCAATAAGTGGATCCTTTTGTAGTATGTTTCTGTGAATTTGTAACTTGATCCAGATCCTAGGTTTAGGTATACCAGTGGGTCTGGCTGTCCCTTCTTTCTTGGTGAGCAAGATTTTCTCAGCGTGTCTAGAAATGCACCATTCATGCTTGGGTCTGGTTTCACATTCCCGGTGCCATTGTAATTGTACAGCCGATTGCAATGTTGCTACAATGTGTTCTGCCCATTGAGTCTGCTCCTATGTTGATAAGAAACAAACACAATCATTTGGAACATATTACATAAGCTTAACTTACCTAAGAGTGTTGTCATATCTAGTACATTCAAGCCTCTTGGTTTGAAGCATGCTAAAGATTACTGCCACGAGATTTATGGTGATGGCTGGTCTAGTGATGCAGCATCTGATTTCAATCCATCCTTACTTCCTCAGAAAACTGGATAAGATGGTGAAAGGTGTTGAAAGCAGACACATATGTTTCAACATAGAAGGGTGTTTGAAAGAGTACCAGATGAAGAGAATCCCTGGCTGAGAATTGGACTATATCAGCACAGGATACAATTCCTTTGCATTCAGATTCCCATTTGAAAGGTAAGAATCCAGCAATCTCACCCCATTCACAAATTTAGATTCAAACATGTTATTTCTCTTGGGAATCTCATATTCCCAAGTTGAGATTCACATGAATGTAAAAATATTCATTCTATCAAACACCACCTAAAAATATTTCAAATCATGGAAATAGTCTCTCTACTTGTGGTGGTAAGATTATGTATATCTACTCTTCACAGACCTTGCGGAGTGAGAGCTTCGTACATTGTGTCATATTTTTTTGTTTACCAAGCGCCACCGAAATGGACTTTGAAATCGTTTATCGAGGTTTTGGATTTCTGTGAGTATTTGATCAGCATGGTACAAACTTGTATCAAATTTTCTTTGGTGACCAACTTGTAATAAACTTTGGTCTATCTGCCAAACGCAATTGCATTATTAGGGACTGGAGCTCAAAAACCTCTTTTACTGAGTTACAAGGACTCCCCCGGCAATTGATACAATGCTCGTTGGTAACTTGTAACAAATTTTTTGGGTGCCAACGGTATCCCTCATATAAGGAACTAATCCTTTTCGGGGTGTGTGACTGCCCCTTCAATAAATATCGTTCACAGAAATCGAACCTTGACCTTTTGGAGATCTAACGGGACCTTACACAGCTAGAGCAACACCTTGTAACAATTTGAATTGGGGGAAATACAACAAAGTAGATGTATAGGTAGTTTTACCCTATACAATAAATTTCCTGAAATTTAGAAAGGGAAGTTGCAAATTGGTTTTAGATAATTAGAAAATATCCAAAGCTGTTGTGAGTTGTTGACCTAGTCATAGAGGTGCATTGAAGACGCATCCCCTTTATTTTAGGAAGTTTATAACATGGTTAGTTGACAACTATTCAACCAATTAGCTGAGTTAGGAGCTCATCAATTGATTACATGCACTGTGATTGTTAGCCATGAATCATGATCTTCTACAGTGTAAGAGTGTGCTTGTGGACATGAAAAGTGGTATAGTGTGGATAAATTGGTTACTTGTAGAGCTATAAATACTTTAGTTCTACATTAGCATTGGTTTGGCTGTTGTACATAAATAGAAAGAATCATCTTTTTTTTCTCTCTATAACATGGAATCATCTAAAGCAGGTTAGTGGATTAGTTAATTTATCATGGAAAATGCTTGCTATCAACCTTGACTAGTGTAATAAAAGTGTAAAATGTTTTATTTATTTATTAAAAACAGAGGTATATTTGTGAGCTTGGAGTGGTGCTCATCAACCACTACTACTACAATAGTACAATGTGGTTCTATGCATTTACACAACACATTACAATGTTTGTTGTACTATTTGTTGTCTCACTATAACTCACTCATTGTCAAATCAATAAACACACAGGGTGATATACAATGATAAGAAATTAATATCACACTTCTTGAAAACATAGGTAAGAAATTAATATTTCAGTCTTAAGCCATGTCTCTACGAATACTAAAGTAAAATTAGGTATGTAGATCTTGTTAATCAAATCAACCAAAAGGAATGGAATGTATTTAGTCATAAAGAGCTGAATTTTTTCAATGTATTTAATAAATTAGATTAACATTTTATTAAGTATTCCAATAATTTCTTTGTTTTTTAGATGAGTTAAGTTCTCATGACTCATTAAGATCATAGGAGACTTCACATCATTATGTAGTGTATTAACCTTGCTCATCAGCACAATTATTTCACTACATGAATTCCACTAATAAATCAAATATAGTATTAGAAAGGAACACCAATTTCATCTATCATTTAGAATTAACCATAGAAGACTATTTTGACATTAGTTAATTTTATGCATTCATCATAATAACATTAAATTTTCACTTCAATATATTGAAATCTTATCTATTTTTTCCGGGCTATGATTTTTGTTGGAATTATATATCTTATCTATCTATCATATATTTCAATAAAAATATAATTTTATTATGACGAAAGTGTCATATTGATAAGTATTAATTATTATACCAATGAGGAATAAATGAGGTTTTTAACGACCAAATTAAAAAAATAAAATGAAGCATAATAAAAAAAAGTAATTTAAGCCCAAAAACAATATTCCTAGAGGAAGAAATTGGAGGAGAAAAAAGTAATTTGATGAGTGGTATAAAAAGTTTGTTCTGTACAAAATTCCTTCAATATTTAACTAGTTTGCAGAGTCATCATCTAGTTGCAGAAAATCTCAATTTCCTTTAAAAGACTATCTTTTATTTATTTATTTTTTCCCTTTTCCTATTTTCCAATTTTAATTCCACTATCCTTTTTCAATTACCTTAACTCTTATCACTATCACTTTCAATATCACCCTTTCTCTCTATTTCATATTTTTTCTTCTTCAATTTTTGTTTTTGCAGTGTAACATTATTCCGGTAATTGGCGGGAACAAATCATCAATTTGGATACCCTTTAATCGAATCTGGTGAAACAGCGTGTAAAGTTTCAATCTTTGAGTGTATTTGAAGAAGGGTTTTTTTTTATGGCGAACCCATCAGGGAACAACAATAATCAGGAACAAACTCATCATGTTTCTTCATTCAATGGGAATTCAGCTTTGGATACTTCTTTAGCTATGAAGCATAACCCTGGAATTTCACTTGATTGGACCACCGAAGAACAAGCCATCCTTGAAGAAGGACTAGCCAAGTTAGTAATTTTTTTTATTTGTTTACAATTTAATTTTTGGTGAATTGTTGTTAGTTTACATTAAATTTATGGATTGATAATTGAGGATGTGTTTATTTTATATTGGGTTTCCTTGATGTGCAATTAGCAAGTCATTAAAATTTATCTTTAGTGTAACTCATTCATGTAGGTGAGTGCACATCACTAATTACTCTTCATAAAAATCTGGTCCGTTCCTTACAAGGAACCGATTTCCGAAAGAACCATGAATTAGTAGACAAGAACCAATTTGCGGTTCTCTATCAAAGTGAGAGAATTGAGTTTCAATGGTCTATTCGCGGTTCTCTATCAAAGTGAGAGAATTGAGTTTCAATGGTCTGCATGGTGAAGATATTTTCTGTTGGTCAATCCTCATGTTGCGCTAGTTGCAATGGAATTTTGAAATCAATATCCGAGCGCTTTTCAGGAGTGATATTTAATTAATTACTTAATTATGCAAGCTTGAGTTGTATTTGTACTTAGATCAAACAGTTAATTCATTTCTGTTGTCATACAGTTCAACACCTAGCTCATCCTTAAATTGATGAAAATTAGAAATGTTTCTTTGTAGTTATGCCTCAGCATCTAACATAGTACGCTTTGCGAAGATAGCCCTACAGCTACAGAATAAGACAGTCCGAGATGTTGCACTGCGAGTCAGGTGGATGAATGTAAGCTACATACTTGTTTGTTGCTGCCTCAAGTCATTTATGTAATTGTGACTGCTACATATTCTATTTCCCAGCCGACCCACCTAGTGGGATCAAGGCTTGGTTGTTGTGTACTATATTCTATTTCCCTAGTTGATAACAGTTTTATTGCAGTAGGTATAAGGTTGTGACCTTTCAAGTTTGAACCATTTGTACCATGTATCAAAATATCAAATAGGCAGCATTTCTAACTTATCACCATCTTTTTAGAAGATTACCATTAAGTGTTGAAGAGTTTAATGTGCGTACTTTGTGGTTGTGAGAATTTATTATATGATGGAGACATGGGAATCTTATCTTAGGCATGTCAATTCATAATAAATATCCACCAAATATTTCCATTATGTAGTTATAAATTCTATAAGGTTTTTGCCTCATGATTGTTACATCTTATTCTTTATCTTAGAAAAAGATTGTTAATATGATTTGTTGAATTACATAGATACTTGATAAAGTTCTTTATGACTGCATGTGCTGTGCCTTCCTGATTGAAAAGGGTTTTCATGACTGATTCCTCCATTAGAATGATGCTAGACACTTTGGTTCCTCATGCAACCCTCCCCACCCTTGACAAATGGAAAAACGATCTCATTTTTATT